TGTGGTGTGGTGTGTTGGGGTGGGGGTGTGTTGTGAGATCTTTCCTCATTTATTTTGGGAGGTATAGCATTCCCCCCATCTTAATTAATAGCTTCTGAGTCTTTAACTGTTGCCAAAAATGAAGTATAATTTGTTACCAAAATTTGTTTTTAAAAATACTTGTAAACTTCTCATTTTAGAACTTAACATGTCATTCTTCACCTTGGGGTTTCATCCCTGTCAATAAGAAAACTTTGGATTTTCCATTATTTATGGCTTTATTCCATCAATGCTTTGTTTTCATTTCTCCTTTTTTTTGGCTTTTCTTTGTGATTTAATTCTATAAAATCTAATTGTCTTACAGGAGTTTTATTTTGGCACTTTTTTATGAGGGTGATTTAGGCTTCGCTAGTATTTATTGGAGATAAAGTATATACCTCAAACTGGCACAAATATTTAATCTTCACAACTATCTTTGAGGTCTTTGTCTCCATTGTATACACTGGGGAGCTCCAGTACAAAGAGAAAAAGTCATCTAACTGGAGAAGAATAGCTATTCAGTGGCGAGGTAGTGGAACCAGTATTTGACCCCAGCACTTCTGATTCCAATTCTAATATTCTAATCCATTAAGTAAGCTTCTTAGTGGATCTCATAGCAGACAGTAGTGATATAATGTTTATCATTTTATTCTTATTTTTCTTTCCTTCCACTTTATTTTCTATGCAATACATTTTTTTTTTAATTTTTTTTTTCAACGTTTATTTATTTTTGGGACAGAGAGAGACAGAGCATGAACGGGGGAGGGCCAGAGAGAGAGGGAGACACAGAATCAGAAACAGGCTCCAGGCTCTGAGCCATCAGCCCAGAGCCTGACGCGGGGCTCGAACTCACGGACCGCGAGATCGTGACCTGGCTGAAGTCGGACGCTTAACCGACTGCGCCACCCAGGCGCCCCAATACATTTTTAATAACATGTCAGCAACGTCTAGAGATAGTCTGGAAACCATCTTGGTCATAATCAAAGCACACCTCTAGGTGGCGTGAAAGAATACTTTTTTTCAGAGTCAAAACTATGATGTCTTCAACTGGGATTGTGGAGCAACAGACTAAACAGTTTTTAAACATGTGAGATTTTACTTATGGAGTCATTAATTTTTTCTTCTTCCCCTGGGCTAGTTCAGTCTCATCATATTCATAATGGTTATTCCAGAATCAGTTCTACTATGGAAAGAAAGAAAAAATAATACACACACACATTCTTTGAAGAATTCTGTATTAAGTTTCTGCATGTTTTTCCCTTTAAGTTTTATTTTTCTGAATTCCAAATCCTGAGGGTTGCATTATCCATTTTTAGATAGACCCATACAGCTTGAAGAAGCCATAGCTCAGAGAGTCATGGAAGCATTTGAATCCTTACTTGTGTTTCCAAGGCGATTGGCTTTGCCTAGTACTTACCAGTCACTTATCAAGCTTTTAAAATATTTAGATTACATGAATTTTCATGGTAACATCTTTCAGTGCTTACATACCTGATACAAAACATTTTTCTTTCCCCCAAACCTAACTTTTTGCTTCAAGTCTAATGGACCATTAATCATTTTATTTCCTATCTTGAAAAGCTACTCCTTGGCATCTTTTTTGGTTTTTGAAAACTTTTGAATGGATTCAAAGGATCAGAAATTATCTTTTTGTTATAATTTGTTCTTTGTGATATAATTCAACTCATCCACTTGGTTAAAGTTGAAAATAGAAAAAGATTACAATCCTGCAGTGATCTTTTTATCTGAGTGATATAAATTCATTTGGTTGTTACCCACACTAGTTTAATCATTTCAATTAGAAACTACTTCACGATGCAGTAATTCTTCCACATTCCAAATTTCGATCCTAGCTGAATTCATTTCCATGTTTCCTATTCATGTCTCTGCCATATTTAAATCCTAGACTTCCGTGTACTTTCAACTAAACCACAAAGGCATGCTAGGTTTGATGGTGATTTGAAATATGAAAAATGGATCAGGAGAACATGGATTGAAATCATGATTTTTTCCCAAGGCACATAAACAGAGGAGCCCTTGTCTATGACAGTGACCTTAGGTGTCTATGTATTTGATACATGTTTAGTTAATTTCCATTATATGCTAATTACCCACTAAGCCATCTTTCTCCCCCCTTTTGCTTCCTGGGGAAATATAATCCTATTATTGCTTTTTCCCCCCTTTGTATATAATTTTGATTATACCTGAAGCAGCATAACAAAAATTGCTTAGTTACTCTTCTTATTTTTACTTAATGATCATCTATAAATATTAGAAGATAGTTTGAATTACATTTCTGGCAAAATACAGGACAGACTACATGAGAAATAAATGTGCCACTGTCAAGGAAAATAAAAACTTCACTGTTTGGAAGGATTGAGGGGAAGGATTGTGTCCCTTTGGCTCATTGAAACTGTTACATGCCTTTAGGCTTACTGTAAACTATCCCTTGATGAATTCTTTGCTGAACAATGAGCTTAAGAATCTGAGGTGTCTTCTTCCTTTTACCGAGCAAAGTAGGCTTCTGATGCTTAAATGGAAGTTGCACAGCACATAATAGGATGTAGGTAAAGTTACTGAAGTACAACATCTCACTTTCAGGAAAGTAGTGGGAGAGATTGTGTCTTGAGAAGAAAGGCATTTTAGAGGTAACCCTTTTAAGATTTCAATGAGTTATTTAAATGTATCAATCATGTGCTTAAATGTATTATTACTTAAATGTTTGTTTCTGAGGCTAGCTAGCCTTTACCAATCCTAACCAGCCACAGGTAGACGTTTTGTTTTCCTGGGACTGGACCTATTTTTAAAAGAATTGGAGCAAAACTCTTTTAGGTTTCTGATATTTAATCACAGGGTTTGGAGAAAGCTTCAGGACATTGTATGAATAGTATGATGATTAACCGCAAAAAAAAAAAAAAAAAAAAAAAAGGCAGTAATGATATTCTGGCTCCTGTAATGATAATTTAGAAACATAGGACAAATGTATTAAAATTATTTCACATTTGCACTGGTTCACTTTAGATAATTAGATATATAGAGATTTATAAAAAAATGTTTTCAAAGACAATTTATGGGAATTTTTTTTTTTTTTTTGCAAAAAGTTATTCCAAAGCATAATTGCTTTGGAAATGCAATTGTCTGTGTTTTTAAATTATGCATCTATGACACTTTTTAGGTGTTTATTCACATTAGCAATTTTTTCTAATACTATGGCAGAATGTTTGGGAAGCAGTCATGTTTTAGAATTTTCTAAACACCAATGTTGTCTTGTTTTTCTTTCAAAAGCAGTCTTTTTTTTTTTTTAATTTTTTTTTCAACGTTTTTATTTATTTATGGGACAGACAGAGACAGAGCATGAACGGGGGAGGGGCAGAGAGAGAGGGAGACACAGAATCGGAAACAGGCTCCAGGCTCCGAGCCATCAGCCCAGAGCCTGACGCGGGGCTCGAACTCGTGGACCGCGAGATCGTGACCTGGCTGAAGTCGGACGCCCAACCGACTGCGCCACCCAGGCGCCCCTCAAAAGCAGTCTTTAAAAGGCAAAAAATTAGCCTATGATAAGAGAATTAGAGTTGGACATTAAGTAGAAAGGATTATTACGTAAAGTTTCAAAGAATAGAACCGACAAAAGTGTATACAACTTATATTGGTAAATTTAAAATACCATAAATAATGAAATATAGCTGAAAACCCCATTATATCTTACCATACTTCTTGCCAGCTGCAAATATTTTCATTTTCATTAGTCATACCATACTTGGTTATTTCATATGCACTATTTGTGTACAGAATAGAGTCATGCACGTTGTTGAAGTGATGAGTTTATTTACTCTAGCTACTTCAATATTACTTATGTAGTCTTAGGTCCTATAAATAATGCATACAAAGTGCTACATTCAAGGCCAAGTGTATATTCAAACATCTCTTCTACAGCCCATACAGGGGACTGGGCTGCTCATAAGCCCATAAGGGACTGGGGTAATGAAATCATATTTTATTTTATAGACCTAAGACATTTAATTACTTCTACTCTAAAAATGATCACAAGCAAAACCTAGTGTGTAAAATATATAAAGTGGGAAGATACAAAGTAAGTTAAAAGAAAACCCTATAGTAGTATTTATTAGAATTCTGTTCAATTCTTGGGTTATAGTATGGGTTCTCGATGAATCTATTTTGTAAAAATGTATCATTCTGGCAAGAATAATGGTCTTAGAGTATGAAGACCTAGGTTCAAGCCTGACTCTGCCATGATCTTGTACATATGATCTTGGTTGAGTCACTTATCCTCTCTGGTTTTTGTTTTTCGTTTTTGTTTTCCTTTTTTTTTTTTTTTTTTTTTTCATTAACTGTAAAATGAGAAAAGTGTGGTAGGGTCTCTTTGAAAGCACCTTCTACCCTGTCTCCCCACCAATTATCTAAACTGTGAGTTCATATTAACTTACCCAGCTGAAAGAGCCAAGTGCTATACTTAATTGTATAGGTAAAAGTTTTGAGAGAGCTGACCATGTTTACAATAAATTGTGCAAATTATGTCATTGCTTGCACTCAGTTCTAAAATTTTGTGGAAATCTGTGGTTTCAAATATGAACCCAAACATTGGGAGTGTACAATTGAGATTCTAAAATTTTAATCAAGCCCTTTTCATTGCTTTTGCATAGTGGAATTTCTTGCCTTAGACGCTGACTTTTTCTAGTATGGTGTTTCACATGAGCTTAGAGCTTAGTGTTTGATTTTTCTATTTGACCTCAGATTGCTGCTGTTTCCTACCAAGTGATTGGTCAAAAGTGATAGGGCCAGTGCAGATAAAGCAAGTAGTGTTTTGTGGGGTTTAATAATTAAAAACCTCATCCGTCATCAAAACGTCCATGGATCTGGTTCCTTACTGTGTCATTGGCAGAAAGATTTTCACGAGACAAGTCTATATAAAAAGCAACTCCTCTTTTTTTTTTGTTTTCAAAACAGGTATTACAAGTGGATAAATGATGTGCACTGCTCTGAGCCCAAAGGTACGCAGTGGACCTGGCCTTTCTGATATGCATCAGTATAGCCAATGGCTGGCCAGCAGACATGAAGCGAATTTGCTACCGATGAAAGAAGATCTGGCCTTGTGGTTAACCAATCTATTAGGTAAGGTTATAAGATCTTATTTTGTGAGCCAAGGTAACAGGCTGTTTTTTCTACCCCCCTCATGTAGTGTCCTTCACCTAAGCATGTGACGGCACCTTGGGAAGAAAGATTTCATTATTTGGATTTTGCATCTGGGAAACCTGAGGCAGGTGGAAATTTTAAATGAATTTCTCAATATCTCTCACATGAACTGTGCTTAGTAATACCAGTATCATGCATTGAAATGTGGAAATGTGTGGTCAAATCTCTGGTTTTATCTATAGGCCGGTCTGATTTATTTTTTACTTTTCTTTCATGCAGCTGACCAATTTGACCTGTTCTTTTGATACTGCACACGGGCCACAGTCTGTGAAAATCTGACTTCTAAAACTAGATTTCTTCGTCCTACTTTTATAGCACACCTATACCCAGTGTGCTATAAAACTGAATACCCAGACTCTAGAACAAAATTGTCTATCCTTTGTCTCAATGAGCTGGCTGGAGTCGTCCAACCTTGAACTAAAGTTTTCTTTGCATTTCATTTTTGTTTGTAAGTGCTCTTCCAAAATTTGTCTCTGAGAAAAATGCTACCTAATGCTAAAGCTGCCTTTTTTTTTTTTCTGTTCTGCCAGCATATCCATAGGATAAAATTTCAACCATGTGCACAATGGAATTGTGCATTTAAAGGATCATCATGTTTTCACCAGTAGCTTTTCACAGAGAATAGAATTAAAACCTGAAGAAAGGACCTTTATAGATATATGATAGAAGAGTTGAATACAGAGTAAACATAGAAAGCATGTGGTGCTTTATCATTTGCAGAAGGGATTTCACAACATTATTTTCTTATTTAAAGGATCCGTCAAGGCACATTTTTTATCTTTATTTTCCAGCTGATGAAAATGAGGAGCTTAGTGAGAGTGCCCTGTTTATCTAAAAACGTAGCAAGGTTTTGGCAGGGTTTGGCAAGATTTTAGCACATTTTCGCAAAAGTTTCCTTTTGCTCACCATGGCTCTGGAGTTTTGCAGGGCTTTTACGTTTTTTAAGCCTTTATCCTAAGGTGAGATGTCTCCTTTTTCCTTAGTGTGTACATACGACTCTATGTGGTGTAGCAAGGCTACGTGTCGGTTTTCAGCGTGCCCAACCACAGGGTAAGGACAGGAATACCAAAGGCATTCCCAGGAAGACCCTTTATTACGCTATGACACTATATCCCCTGGAAGGAAGGGGCTGTCCCCTTTTAGTAAGACATCCATACTAGGTAGAGGTTTTATCACCATCACATACAGGGAGTCAAGTGTGTCTAGGCAGATGGATTTCCCTCTCTCTTTCTCTCTCTCTCATCCTTCAAGGGTTTACTAATGATTGTTACATTAGCACTTTATCATTAACTTTGAGCTGTCCTCATATACACAGGCTATTGCAAGTGTAGCAGCATAGAAGAGAAATTAAGAGCACAGATTTGAAGTAGACTCCTATTGTGCTTGAACCCCAGATCGGCCACTTAGCTAGCAATGTGATCTTGGGCAAGTTACTTATGCTGTCTGTCTCTCAGTTTCTTCATATGTAAAGTGGTAATAATAGTAGTGTTATTCCACAGGGTTGCTGTGGGAGTAAATGATGAAAATACATATGCTAATTAGTACTGGGCATCTTCTAAATGCTATATGGTTTGTCATTGTTATTCCATTTATATAGTTTGGTGATAGTGTTAATTTGATTTTGTGGATAAGTTAATATATTCAACAAATATTTGAGTGTGATACAGAATCATATATCAGTTTAGGGGCCCCTGGGTAGCTCTGTTGGTTAAGCTTCCGAGTCTTGATTTCGGCTCAGGTCATGATCTCATGGTTTTGTGAGTTTGAGCCCCACATCTGGCTCCACAGTGACAGTGCAGAGCCTGCTTGGGATTCTCTGTCTCCCTCTCTATCTGCCCCTCTCCCACTCACACCATCTCTGTCCCTCTCAAAATAAAGAAATAAATCTCAAAAAATATATATTATATCTATAATATATATTAGTTTAAAAAATGAACTCTGGAATCAGAGTGCTTGAATTCAAATCTCAATTCCATGAGTTACCAGCCCTGTGATACTAAGCAAGTGTCTTAATGCAATGTGCCTCAGTTTTCTCATCTATAAAATAAGTATAATATCAATACCAACCTCATAAGATTGTTGGAAATTAGAATGACATCACCAGCTTTAGAAATAGATCTGGCACATAGTAATCAACTAGCTAGGAAATACTAACTCTTGTAGTTAACTGTGTTTTAGACACAGTCTGCTAAGTCTGGAGGATAGAATAGTGATTAGGAATAGAGTACCGGCTCTTATAAGAGCTTGGAGTAAATTGAAACAGAAACATTTTAAAGAAGTAAGTGAATAAATAATTCATTAACTGAGCTTGTTGTAAACACTAAAAGATACAGGTTGCAATAAGAATGTAAAAAGACGGAAGTGTGAATGGGCAAAGCTCAGAGGGCTTGGAGGGGGGATCCTCTTTAAAAGGTCTTATATTTGGGGCGCCTGAGTGGCTCAGTTGGTTAAGCGTCTGATTTCAGCTCGGATCATGATCTCGCAGTTAATGAGTTCGGGTCCCACGTCGGGCTCTGTTCTGACAGTTCAGAGCCTGGAGCCTGCTTCGGATTCTGTGTCTCCCTCTCTCTCTCTGTCCCTTCCCTGCTTGTGCTCTGTCTCTCTGTCTCTGTCTCAAAAATAAATAAACATAAAAAAAATGTTTTTAAAGTTCTTATATTTAAACTGAAAACTGAAGAATAGTTAACAGCTAGCCGGAGAAAGCATGGGAGAATAACCTGAGTGGAGGGAATGGCATAGGCTGAGACAGGAAGGAATTTGGTACCTTGGAAGAACTCAATGAAGGCTGGCATCAGTGGCACAGACCAAGAAGGAGAGAGGTTCATGTGACTTGTTGGGGCTAGATCACATACTGCTTTGAAGACCGTGTTAAGGGGCTTTATAATTTTTTGTAGGGTGAAGGAAAAGTCAGGGAAAGATAAGATTAGAGTATAGCCTGTTTGTATAAGCATGTTCCAAGGTCCGGTGACTTGTCACCAAAGACATTTTATTTGGTGAATGTGATCATTTACAAAGCAGATTGATCAGGGTGAGCAGCCCAAGACATCCTCAAAGAATAGAGACTCACTGTGTGTGTAATGGAAAGATCTTTGGATTAAAAGTCAGGAGACCTGGCTCCTAACTGGGTGTCAGGAGACCTGGCTTCTGATTCTGGCTCTGCCACTCGGTAGGAAATTTGCCCAAAGTCACTCAGCTATCTGTTCTGGGCTCAGTGTCCTCAACCATAAAATGAAGGGCTTGGAGTGGATGATCTCTAATGTCCTTTCCAGTTCCAAAAGTCTAGGTTTCCAAGAAATCCATCTCTTGAGACCCAGTTTGATATCATCAATATGCATAAACAAAGTGAAAACAATTTACATAAATGAATAATCTTTCTTTTAGAGAATAAGAATAATTTTTTTAATGCTAGTATTTGGTAACAAACATGCAACTGATGGTTTGTGAAATTTTCTCAGAAAAGGAATCTTAATCTCAAGGTACAATAACATACCACCTCGCATTGACTTATATTCGTAGAAGTAGAGAGATAATAGCTTTCAAGTGAATATTCACATGGTAACTTAGAAAGTAAACTCATAACTTGAGATTATTTTAAAGTGGTGAAGCATTTGGAGTTAAGAAAATGCATTATGTACTAGAATGGTAATGAAGAAGGGAGAAGAAAATGTATGGCTATGTTAGAAGATACTTTTATGGGGTGCCTTGGGTCGGTTGAGCATCCGACTTCAGCTCAGGTCATGATCTCACAGCTCGTGAGTTCGAGCCCCATGTCGGACTCTGTACTGAGCTCAGAGCCTGGAGCTTGCTTTGGATTCTGTGTCTCCCTCTCTCTCTGCCCCTAACCCACTTGCATTCTGTCTCTGTCTCTCTCAAAAATAAATAAACATTTAAAAAATTTTAAAAAAGAGGGTATTTTTATTACACATAATAGATACATTTAGAATTCACATATTTTGGAAATGGAGTCCTTAAATTAAATTTTAAAATTATTTATTACTGACCATTTTGTCACCTCAGATATTTGCAAATTTATATTGTGTAGTTCTCTTTCAATTCTTGTTTTTCATCTACTTGAAAGTTAGAAATGTTTTGAAAGTAGTTTCAAAGTTGATAGTGTCTCCATATAAAGTTTCTGCATTTTTTGGCAATGTAGAAATTTATATACTAAATTAAACCTTTTAATTAGATGGTGCCATTGTGATGTGGACCTTACTTGTGGAAAGGCTTTCTGCTTCTTTTAAGTAATATTGATTAAAATATGACTTTTTTGTCTTTCAAAAGGAGTATTAATGGTTGTTTAAATTCATATATTTCTGCTCCTATATATAAAATGTAAAACATAAGATATAGTTTCTTAAAGAACACTCAATATGTATTCAGATTTTTTGGTAGATAAAAATATTTGTTAGAGAAAATAATTACTTTATTGGTTCAGAGACCAATATTCACATTCATGCCATATATGGAGTTATATAATACCATAATTTCCAGGTACTTAATAGGTACTTATTAATTGGTAACAATAATAAATAGGACTTTACATTCTTAGGCATAAAATTAAAGCAACAATAGTGAATTTTTATATGGAAATTTATATATTAGAATATTAAATGCCAGCTATCTTATGACAAATTAACTAGTTATGGTGAATAAATAGTTATGGTAGTTGGGATTTGTTTATGAGATAGCATACCAACTTGATTCATGAAAAGATCATCGTGTAATGTTTATTGACTACTCACACATTCTTGGAAATATCTACCCATCTTATTGAAAATAGTCTTTGTAGTCCAAGTATGTTTCTAGTACCTGGCACCATGGAGCGTTTTATGAGCAACATTCAGAAAAGACAGCAGAAGAACCCCAAAGACCCCTTTATTCTTCCCTATAAAACATTTCTTTGGCCATTGTGTCCTGTT